AGATGTTTGTGAAGGGTCTTCCTCCAGCAGCAGCACAACCACATTATTAGCAACACATTGCACCAAGAACATATCCTCCTCCTTTGTCGCCATACCCTCCTGTTGTGTTTTAGATGAGCGGCTAGGCTGCGGCTGAGATCGCAAAGGAAGATCTTGTGCTGCTGCTGTGCGTCCAGGCTGCTGCCACGGCTGCTGAGACGGTACTGGTTGCTGGGTAACAACACCACCAGCACCAGCCATGCTGTTGCGTCGTGGCTGGTGCTCTTGTTGCTGCTGACGGTGGTGGATAGGCTCCGTATCCCGAAGCCGCCGTTCTAGACTGCTTCGCCGCCAGTTCGCCATACGCCGAGACCGGCTGTACCGATGGCCACATGTCACTGGTAGCTGACACAAATTCGTCACAGTCCTCGTCAGAGTCCTCCAGCACAGTGTCGCGTACCCCAGCCCCTTGCTTCGACCCACCACCAGCGGCAGGAGAAGAATGCGGAGATTGGTTCCAAGGTGAGCCAGGGGTGCTGAACGGATCTCGCACAGAGTCGTGTAAGTTGGGAGTTTTAGGCTTGGCAGGAGAGTCCTGCTTGAGACCCCACTTTGAAAAGCGCTCGCGAACCTTGATCTTTGGCATCACACCAACGTGAGAGGACATGCCAACACAGTCGCCTAATGACGCAGTGATGGGGCAAAACACACACAAACACACACACACACACACACACACACACACACACACACACACACACATGTGGACACACACACGGACACACATGGACACACACACACACACACACACACACATCCATACACACCGCTTGAATATCAAACGTAGAACCATCCAAGTACTGTACAAGTACAAGTGTTTGAAACGAAAGCTTGCTCCTACCTAGTACCTGTTAGCTAGAGATAGAACAGAGTGACTACTACCGTGTACACTCGGTTAGGAAATCAACCGTTCTATCCAGCTACACTCATATCTCTACCGTGTACACTCGGTTAGGAAATCAACCATTCTATCCAGCTACACTCATATCTCTCTTATCCGGCAGTCTGGGACCAGGTACTGCCCAGAACTTGGAAATCTCCGTAACTTTGAATCACATACGTTTTGATGGGGAAGTGCCAGAGATGGCATATAATTATAACGTCACCATTTCCACAAACATTGGCAAGAGTGTAGTAATATTCCCACTAAAACTCACTCACAGGGTGCCCGTGACTTCCAGGTCTGCATAAGAGAGATATGAGTGTACTAGTAGAATAACATGTTCAGCTACAAGTACTTGCAATGCTACTCCTACAGTCACTCTTATCCCTGCTGAAGGTCTCCTCAAGTTGTCTTTATAACATTGTTTATGCCTGATGATCGTAGTGATACGTGAAACTCAGAGTTGTAACAAAGCTTCCAATCTCTCTCTTGTGTAACATTGTTAATGATCATTTGGCTAGGTTTTCTTGCACAAGTACTCTGCTGTGTTCAAGATACTATCAAACTACTACGAGTCGAGCCACACATGTACACGCCAATCCAAACACCGCATACATGAATGGGTTTTAGATGAAAATGTACGAGATTTTTCAAGTAAGAATAATCTTCATTTACAGTTAGGGCTGAAATGATCGTGGATTTTCAAGTATCGATTACTCTTTAGCTTAACGATCGAGTAATCGATTATAATCGTTAGCAAATAGAGTCATAATTCTGTGCAAACATTACTGTTTCCACAAACTATGCCTTCATAATACCAACAAATCTGCATTAGTGAAAGGGTAGCTCCGAAACATGGCAGTTTTGAAGTCAATTTAACCTCAGAACATGAACCATACCCCTGGCAACTGCATACTCCCAGCGGAAACTGATTCAAACTTCACAAAACGAGGGTTTACAGTACTTTCTGGACACAAATTTAAAAAACGCAAAATAATCGTAATCGGTAATCTAAACGATTGCTCGATCGTTAGAGTTATCAAACGAGTACTCGATTATTCGGTATAATTGTTTCAGCCCTATTTACAGTAGCTCCTATGGGATGACTATTGCAATCATGGCATGCAGACTTTGGCCAGTTCTTCCGCAAGCGAGTTCAATAGCAAATAAAGTAAGCTTGCAAGCCAGCTACTGTACTGCTCAACACTTGTTCTCATTCTCGTGTAATCCTAGAGGTGTGTACAAAGTACACACATGTGCAGTAACACTTACCAGCACCAGTAGAGAGACGCTCTGACTGGAGAGTGAGAGTTTTCACCACATCAGCCAGGGTGCTGGGTGACAAGAACACCCTCACCTTGCCACATTCTCCTTCAACAAGCAGCTGCAGAAAGTACAAGTGTGCGTGCACATAGCATTATACATACCGACACACACAGTAGAGGAGATCGAGTACACACACAGTAGAGGAGATCGAGTACACACACAGTAGAGGAGAGAGAGAGAGTACACACACAGTAGAGGAGAGAGAGAGAGTACACGCACAGTAGAGGAGAGAGAGAGAGTACACACACAGTA